CTGCAAGGGGGAGTAGAGGGGGAAAGGGATCTGAACGCCCTGAGGCTGGACAGCCTCGGCGAATAAACCCCCCCTCCCCTTAATCGGGACTATAATAGGGATCCTAAAGCTAATTCCCTTAAAAGGAAGGGGTTTATTAATCATGGGTCTACATTAGTCAGATCAGAGCTAGAGGGTCCTTGTTTCGGTGGTCAATGGGTAGCCAAAATCTTCTTGTTAGTTAATTATTTTAAAGGGGGTATAATGGGAGTGCAATTATCGAGGCTTCTACAGGACCTATGTTTCACACTAACTATGAGTAAGTAAAGCGTGAGTGAAGAGGGTCTCCCTGCAGCGTCCTGACTCTCTTCTCAGAGCGTGCCTGCTCTGTTCCTCAACTTTACTGCAAAGCTTCCAACTGGCTTCAGGTCGCGCAGTATGTTCCATCGTCTTCTCCTCATTGTGGTCCATGCTTTCATCTTATCATTTTCCATTTTACCACGGTACGAAGGCTCTGCCGCCACGCAAAGTTGATGGTCTGTCGACCGAGATTAGATATTGACAACCTTACGAAAAGCCGCAGTGGCGTTTCTGGCTGGTCCGACTAAGACAGGGCTCCTACAAAGTAGTACACCCAATGGTGGCAACCAACAGCAACTTTTCGGGAGAGAGTAGCAACTTTTTTCGTAGCAACTGCCTGGTGGACCTAATATATACTTGCATCCATCCCTCCAAACGGCGGCCTCCTTGTGGGCAATCCCCTTACCACAAAAGAACCTCCACCCCCTATTAATGGATACCACCAAGATAGCATATATATATATACATGTATAGGGTGGAACATTTATTGCTAGGGGCTGGGGGGGGGGCTATTATCCTAAACCCTAAACCCCTAAACCCTAAACCCTAAACTCTAAAGAAACACTTCCCGATGGGTTCAGGGCTCCGCCAATCTCTCGTCGAGCTTGAAGGCGGGCTCCAAGGCAATCACCCTGCACTAACATGGGGGTTCCCCAAATTAGTAGGTTTAGGGATTTAGGATTTAGGGATTTAGGGTTTAGGGTTGAGGGATTTAGGGATTGAGGG